CTTGTATTAGTTAGGGGTGGGTAACCCTACCAGGTAACTGCCCTGCCACAAAGTTTCCAAGTTGCCTGGTTTTAAGTGTCGTTAGTAGTTGGGGTTCAATTATTCTGGTCTGAACCAAAGCTTAGCCCGTACAGGCGCAGCCTAGCTTATTCCACCCTAGTTTATTAGTACTGTAGTTTGCTATTGCCATCAAAATTTTATTCTCCATTACTATTGGGTTAGAGTGTTGGACGTATTTTCTCTATATGAGAACTGCATTAGTGTTTAGTGGAGTAATTAGAATGTTTTTGTCTAAAGTGATATCAATATAAATAGTAGTTTGTGGCAGAGGGTTCATCAATGTATATTTTTGTATATTTATTTCTGCAGCTGAGAGGGTTTGAATTCGCAAAAGCAGTCACCTTAGTGGCCGAACCATTTACAATTGAGAACGGTCTTCTTACACCCACATTTAAGGTGAGTTTCTGACTCTTCTGCCCGTGTTTTCATTGAAGATAAACGACAGTTTAAAGCGATATAAACCACTTTATTCAATTTGGTGTCCTTTAAAATTTGGTCAGTTTACTATATGCATTTTAATGCTCCGTATGTATATTTAGGATATGAACTAACACCACTAGACCAAACAAATTACCACATTGCCATGTTCTCTGCTTAGTCACTAGATAATCCACTAGATAATCGCCACACTGATTTAGATGAATGCTCAATCTAATAAAGTTGGTTTTCTTATAGTTAATGAGAGGGAATGCATTGATTTTTTTTTTTTGAAGTGCGTGGTTCTTGTTGGTACATTTACTAAAAAACCCAGATAATTCGTATTCCACCCATACCAAGCGCTGATCATGAACAATTTTTAGGTCAACAATTGTTTTCATGTATATTTTTTTGGACCTAACTTGTAGGTTAAGAGGCCACAGGCAAAAGCATACTTTGCAAAAGCGATATCTCAAATGTACGATGAGCTTTCCAGATCTGATCCCGGACAAAAAGTCTTGTAGGCAGAAGCAGAAGAAGACAATACTGCTTCAGGTGCCTGCTGGTTTCCTCCATTTAATAATAATGAAGTATCTTGAAGCCATTTCCTCCAGCTAATTCTGTGAATATTAAGGCAGAAGTATCTTGAAGCTAATATTTGCAGCTATGATCAAATGGCTTTACCATATTCACAGAATGTTCTCTAGAATATGTAGCTGATTATCTGAAAAGTTATGACCTTAATAATTCAAGCCTTCAACGATCATCTTCCTAACTACATTGAAATACGTAGTAATTACAGGATGAAAGAATAAAAAGTACTCCGTAATATATACTGTAACTGTTTGTGTTACCACTGTTTTCGATATTTTTTAGTTGTGGGACTAAATCCTGATAAAAAGTGTGGTTGAAATTTAGTGTGATTGAAATTTCAATTGAAATGAGTGAAATTATATGAATTTCATAATTCTCTCCTAAATAAGAAACATGAAGATTATTGCAGAAAGGCTAATTATTATGTTGCAAGGTTCAAAATTGTGTATTGCGTATTTGAGGCAGTTTCTTACCATTGCCTATTGCGCAAGCCTCATTGCGCAATGAGGTGCAAGCCTCAACTTTTACCCAAATTTATATAAAAAAGCACAAATAATGTAATTGATAATAAAATAAAATAAATATTTACAAGTCAACTAATGTCATAATAAAAACCAACAAAATTGAGGTCATAGACCATCCAAAAAATATGTTCGAACATCACACAAAACAAGTATAACTAACAAGGAAGAAAGTAAAGTATTTAATATTTGTCCACTATATATTTTCATTCCTTTTACTGAGTAGTGGGGAATGGGAGTACCGAGTACCGATTATTTTGCCCACCAACTCCTATATGAATAAATATAAGAAATAAGATAATTAGACAAACACACACACCTCTGTTAGCGTGAAGAAAAGAAGGGTGGAAGAACAAGAATGTCATAGAAAGTAAACATGCAGAAGAAAATCAGCCGCAGATTACAATTTGATCCAAACAAGGTGGAATCTCCCACTTCAGGAGCTCCATTCGGCCATTCCCCGACCCGATAGAATGGTGGAGGACAGAATGGTAGAGGAGTAAGTCACGGTGACTCAGTCGGCCCAATGGTGGTAGGTCTTATATCCGTGCGCACCAGAGGTACATCCCAGCACGCATGAGTTGTAACCTCCACGTGGCCGTTGCGAGTTTCGAACCTTGATAATTGTTCCAAATTTCCCACCACTGAACCAACTGAGCTACATGTGCGGGTTCAGCCGTAGGTTACAAACGTTTAGGTCGATACATAAACTTATATACTACATGGAAAATTAGTTTGATGGCTTTGGGCTGCGGAAGTCAGCCCTGAGCCCTGCTATATGTTGTTCGCCTCAAAACGAGCTATATAGCTTATGCCAATTGCGTACACCTTGTTTAAAAAATCGCACGCATACATATTGCCTAAATTGGGATTAGCCTTCCAGCGGAAAAGTAGCAAGGTGCGGAGCCTTATTGCGGTAAGGCATTGTGCAATTTTAAACATTGTTAGGCTGTAGTTGTGGGTTTTATACTGATGACAACTTATACATTAACTTTATATTGTCCATACAACACTGCAATAAAACTGGCTACTTTTATTTTCCACGGCGAACAATGCAATCGGGGCATTGTTTTGGTTGTTCCCACACGTATTTGGGAACAACATTGCCCCAATGTCACAAAGGCTCGGGTAAAATGAAATAAAAATGGCAAAGCAGGACATGGGTTTCGAACTCCCTTGATTGTCAAGGGCTCGGAAACTTAATGTTCTCGTCCTTTTCGGAATCATATTTTGATGATAGTACCGTAATACAGAGATCATCTCTAGTCTAAATGGTATTATGCACGTACCACCTTTAGCAAGGCGTATGAGAGAATGAAAAGCAAATGTCAATGTGAATTTGGAACAGAGTACTATTCCTTTTGAATATAAATTTTTCGCTGAAATCAAAACGGGAATATGATTACATATTTCAGGTGAAAAAGTTGGCTGATGAGCCTGATAAACCGAAAAATAGTGTTGCCAAACGGCCTCTTAGAGTTTTGATACAGTTATGACTTATGATAAGTTTGAATTGTAAAGTCGCCAAAAAATGTAAAAAGTCACCAAACGTGAAATGATAAGCAAATTAAAAATGAAACAAATATCACTACTTCGAGAATAAAGGAAATCAAAAAAGAAAGAATATTGTGTGTTTTTCTCTCGGAAATGTTAAAAAATAAAATGACTAATAAGATTAGTTATTTCTTTAAAGAAAAAATAGAAAATAAATGTATTGAGTTTGGAATAATGTTTGCTTAAAACTTGATCAAAATTAACTCGCATATAGAATAATAAAATAGTGTATAATTGTATGGTTAAAATCTGTACAAAAAAAGAGAAGTGTGTTTAGTTATAGAGAGAATTCTCTAAATGAGACTAAAACAAAGGGAAAATGCAAAACTGGGACAACCCTGTTTTTTTAGAACTTTTTATGGCCAATATACAAAATTAACCCATAATATGAAAACCCAGGTTTCCGTATCTAGCAACCTTCGGTGCCGTAGTCATCCTTAGGGGTGGGCATGAAAAACCGTAACCGAATAACCGTACTAGAAAACCGAAAAACCGATGTTTTATCTGGTTAACCATACCGTATTTTGAAAAACTTGCGGTACGGTTAACCAACCAAAAGGAAAAACGGTACATGGTACAGTTATGGTTTTGAGTGAACACTACCACCGGTTAACCGATAACCGTTCCTAAAATTAAAATATTACTTTCAAAGTTAAGAATTATTAGTTGGTGAGAGGAGAAGCTCCAAATAAAAATGAAGCGATGGTACATATACTGTATCGGACTAGCTAAGGGAATACATTATTATATTCTAAATAGAATAAAACATTTTTTTATTCTAAAATGAAGCTCGTATTTACATTTTATTTATGTGCAGACACCCCATTATTTTTTGTACTCCGTGTGAACGTTTCAAATAAATCCTATTACGCATTTATTTACTGTATTTATTTTTTAGCACCGGATTGCTAGTAAACGTCTGCAGCAGTTTGACATTAGGAGGAATGCGTTAAAAGTTGGTTTTTAAAGGGTTTTTTGGTTAACCGATTAATGGTTAACCTATATTATGATTAATTGTTGTTCGGTTAACCGATGTTATGGTTAGGTTAATGAAATTATAAATATATTAACCGAAGTTACGGTTAACTGAAAATTGGTTAACCGAAATGCGGTTAACCAACCGTGCCCACTCCTAGTCATCCTTCAGCAAGAGTGCCGCAAAAAAATTATGGAGATTTACTAAAAAATTCTAAGTATGGGAAGAAAAAGAAAATTCAGTAAGAAAATGCCATCTTTATAAAATTAATGACACAAAAGTGACATTATTTTATCAAACGGGTAAAAAACATGGCATTCTAAAGTTTTATAATTTCAAAGTGGAGTTGTCATCTTGATAGATGTAATATTATAGAAGTGACATTTTCAAATTACATGTAATTCTATGACATTCTCAAATTCCTGATTTATAAATAAAATTGAAATTCAAAGAACGAGTTCTAGAGTGCATAGGAGAAGAAGAAAAAAAAGGAGAAGAAATAGAAGAAGAAGTTTAAATACATGGGTTGGTCAGAGAAATTGCAGCAAAGATGTCGTCGATGGCAGAGCTGCGGCGGCACGAGGATACAATCGATGGCGGAAGGAATCGCAGTCGATGGCCATGGTAGAGGAAGGAATCAGGAAGATGAATTGCGGCAGTCAACCAGAGGTAAAAGTGTAATCTTTAATCCTATTTATTTAGGGAATAATAAACTTAAAATCCTATTTTGAAATTTAGATAATGTTTTAATTCCATTTAGGGCAATTCCTTTTAATTATATACTAATCATTTATTTCTTTAAACAGAAGTGTCAAATTCTTTTGGTACCATTAAATAAGGAAAGTTAATACTAGTATAGTTTTGTGAGACGGGCAGTGTGTTCCAAATTTCATACGGAGTATAATTTCCTTTCTAGCATTTTCCAATGTTCTAAACTTCTAATTGAGCATCATTAAACTATTACGATTTTGAAAGGCGTGCAATGGAACAAAGACAGGCTGCTATGCTTACCATATCTCTGGTTTACAAGTTTGCTTTACACGAAATGTCTATCACACCACTGAACCTTAACTTTTCAATCTTACATTGTACAATGCAGCGGTCAGCTCATTACAAATTCGCACCAACGAACTAATTAAGAACCCAATGAGGATACAGGCTTGACGACGGGCCTGGTGTTGCGCCACAGCCATTCGCGCGGCTGACCATCAAGTAAAGTCGAGACCTGTCAACAACAGCAAGCTCCAAACATTAACCGTGCAGTGATAATCTTGTTAATTTACAACACATAGGACACATATTTGTTCTTCCATGTTTAGCACTTTAGCCAATTATTTCATTCCAAAAAAGCAAGCATGTTTGGTGAACATGTCCATGCATATGTTTTCCCTTCAAAATAGTCCAGGTGGCTTATTTTTCAATTATGATATCCATAATATTATTTCAGTTGTAAACTTATACTCCGTAATTTCTTTTTTATATAACTATTATAAATATAACAAATACATTGTTTTTATTTTGCATTGTTAAGTTTTCATATGATTTTTCATTAGAGCGAATGAAGCTTGTTTATAGTTAACAAAAGGAAAAAATAATTTAAATGCCCCAAACTTTGAAGGGGTGTGAGACAAATACCCCAAACTTGCACGTGTAATTTAAATACCCCAAACTTTATCAAAAGTTACTTTAACACCATGGTCATATATTATTTTAAAATTTATGGTCATATAATTTATGGTGAAAAATTATGCTTATGATGCTAACATAACACTTTATATAAAGTTTGGGATATTAAAATTACATGTGCAAGTTTTGAGTGTTTACCTCACACCCCTTCAAAGTCTGGTATATTTTAATTATTTTTCCCTAAACAAAATAGTACTCGGTACTCTGAATTTTCATTGTTAATAGTTATGAGATGTGACATGCTGTTTTATTTAATATTTACGATTTTTATATTTAGTTTTTTTGTGTGAACTCAATTGTATGTGATGTAACTTATAAGTTTGGTAAACTGATTGTGTTACACACATTAAAAGAGACAGGCTTTTTAATATTCCGAATAAAAAAAATGAAGCTATAAAAAGAAAATTAAAAACTGAAATATTTCATGTCTTCAAAACAGAAACTGGAGTTTGTAAGGAAACATAGATCATCATCCATCATCATTATTACCCCAATGTCGCAAAGACTTCCACCTTCAGTGGGGGGGTAAGGGGGGTCAGATGTAAACAGTCTTACTCCCGTACTAAAGTACGGAGAGACCGTTTCCCGATGACCCATAATGAAAATCATGTCCTAAATTGCATGGACCGACTGCTACTTCATGACAAAGACGCGTAGACAGTTTAGTGAGTCATTTTGCTTTGTTCCATCATATTCTTTGTAAGGAAATATAGATGCAAAACAAAAAATAGAAAACTGAAGTTAATGGACCCTTACCTTCTCCCAGACTTGCAAGTGGTAAGTATTTAGCCAGCCAATTTCATCAGCAGAGAGTAACAATAAATCTACACATTTAGTCTAGAAAAAACAACAAAAGTCCGATTAGGAACAACCACCAAGCGGTGGACTCATGCTCATCAAAGTTGCAAAGGAACACCCATCAGTCATCAATAAACAACATTCAAACATTATACGCACATATTTCTGTTTATGATGACTGTCTATGTAGGGTTGTAAAGCACATAAATTTAATTGAGTGCACAATGTTTCACATAAATAGTAGAGTGATTTAGTATTATTCTGGGAAACAGACAAAGGACAAGCGGCGCTAATTAAAGCTCATATACCTGTATTGGGACAAAAGTAAGCTTTCCAAATCCAAGGTACCCAGTTCCACCAAAACGATTTGGAGTGTTCACTTCCTTGACATAAAGAAGATTCTAGCAAGCATGGTTCAAATTCGACGGCATAGTCGAGTGTCAGAATAAGCACCGCTCTACTAATGGCTTGGGGATTTCATAGGGAAAGAAATATGAGGATTGACTTTATTTTACTAATATATCTCTGTTCGTTAGATTTGGACTAGAAATAATTGTAAGAGACCATAAATCTCTGTATTGTTTTCTAAATTTACTTTATTGACAACCCTTCCGTCCCCTCCAAAATCCCCGAACCAAACAAGCACTAAAGAATGTTCAGATAAGAGTCGAGTTGAGTTGACTTTCCAAAAAAACGCATCTAGAAACTTAAGAATTAGATGGATAGAATTGGAAAAGAAAATTTAACCAAACAAATATACATACACTACCTCAATCCGAATGCCAAAGGAATAGTCTTGATAGTAGCCAGGCTCATTGCTGACTACCATTCCTGGCACCAAACAAGTTTTGTTTCCAAATCGAAAACTAATGCTTTGTGGGCCCTCATGGACATTCAATGCAGCTCCTACACCATGCCCAGTTCCTGGAGAGACACAGATCCAAGATAGAAAAAGAGCACTGAAGTCAAAATGGAATCCTTTTAGTATTCAAGTAGAAAGCATGATAGTACGAAAAAGATGTGGCACCCTCTTCCTCATCTCTCTCTCTTAGGGTGTGTTTGCTTGTGGGATTGCAGAGAAGGGAAAGGCAGGATTGGTTTAATCTTTAGTATTTTATCTTTATTTATCAGTGAGACTATAAAATAACTATATTTTAGTTATAACTGTATTTCTTTATTAAACTTCATCTTTACTTTTTCCCAATCATCAAAATGTAAAAATTAGTAAAGTAAAAAGGTTCCTTCCCTCCCCTCCCCTCCAAGATCCCTCAACCAAACAAAGAGCTTATGGGAATGGGCAAACATTCAGGAAAGTCACAATTACCAAAAGAATGAGGGTAAAATGGAGAAGACAATTACCATGCCGGTAATCAAGGCCAACCTTCCACAAGGGTGACCTTGCAAATGCATCAAGTACAAAACCTGGAGTGTTTTCAGGGAAGACAGCCTGATCAAGAGCTATGTGACCCTGAAAAAGTCGGTATTCAGCACAATGAAACATTACCGTTGACTAAATGAAAGTGGTGACTACCACCAGACAAGCACGAACTAAACAAGTCAAAAACATAAAAGCAGCCAAGCAGATTAATATATATCTCCTTTTTATAATGTGTTACTCAAAACCCTAGAACCAGCGAAAAAAATAAACATGACAATGACTACACCTGCAGAACCCGAGTGAAACATTCTTTCTCGCGTGAAGACGGCTCACCAAAATGGACTGTCCTTGTTACGTCAGTTGTTCCATCAACATATTGAGCACCACTGTCTAAAAGGAAAAGTTCATGTTGACTCACAGTGCTGCAACTATCAGGCTCTGGTTTGTAATGGATGACAGCGCCATTCGCGCCGGAACCTGTTATGACATTATAAGAGGCATGAAGTATGAATTTGAGCTCAGGGATGAGGACATAAAAATGGCAGTAAACGAACAATTTGGGCAAGATTCAGATTTCCTTATCTGCAAGACCAGTAGTTAAACCAATATAAAGCCATGGGCTTAACATAAAAAAAGGTAACCATGTACCAAAATATTCTAGTAGACATAATGGTTTCTCTAAAAGTCTAAAACATAAAATTGGAGGTTAAAAGCATCACACAAGATTTTGATATTGTCGCATGCCAATGCTGTACGTAGCAATCACCACCACCACCACTACCAACTATGTTAGAGTCGGTGCCTCATAGTACGAAACTTATAATACTTGATGTGTCCATTAATTGTCTAAAATTATTTGACGCTATAGTAGACACTTGCATGGAATATTATGTTTATAGAGCTATAGAAGCTAAATAAGAGTATCACATTATGGTCAAAGAAATAATTTGGTGAGATGTTTTGATGAAAAATAAGAACACTATCGAAGAGAGAAGCACCTTCAGAAGTTTATAGAAAGATATAACCATTAAAAAGAAAATGGAGGGCTAATATACCACTTATGGTGTCAAAACTTGTGTCAAGAAAACCAAATTGCTTTGAACGGAATTCAAGAAGTTTGTCAGCAACTTCTACCTCTGTCAAACTCACGTTCTTGCAGATTTCTTCCTCCAACCAAGCCCAAAATTCTGCTAGAGCAGCAGCATCTCTGCATAGGAAAGATGTTCTTTGTTTCGTAAATGATATACTTCTACAATTAATAGTTATCAGTAATACATTAGTGTTTGGCAGGATTACACAGCTATATTAGTCTATGGTTGTTGTGGCAGTATAAAATTGAAATTAATTTCTGACCACATGAGCATGCCAGTGATACGTGAGGTTCCTATTCAAACACCATTTCTTCCATTTACTAAACAAAGATTTTTCTGCTCTTTAAGGCTAAAACATGATGCTCTTTGATCACTTTGATGACTTATCTATTATCAGTGGAAGGAGTATAATATATTTTGGGTCGCAACTAATATTTTTGTTACCTCAGATGACAGTTTTGCATGCCTTCTAATTCTGCACTGTTTTTCACGGCTTTGGCCATAGAGACAGGAGAACTCCTATATAATGCATGGGGTCCCGTAGAATCGCCATTGGAATCATGATTTGTGCCCTTTTTATTTCCCTTCTTCACTGCACAGATCCTATAGTATCTATCACATGCAGACTTGTATGCATTTGTGATAGCAGCATTAACAGATGATGTGTCCAGCCAAAGATTCACACCTTTTTCTGCCAAACTGAACAGGAACTTTTTACTCCAGAAGTTAATATGGCCATGCTTCTTAGCAATATAAAAGGCATAATCACTGGTTATACTCAGACACAAACCCGTTGGATTAAATTTCAGGGACATGGGCAATAAATAAGATAAAATAAAATTTGAAACGTAATAAGATCACTCTAGCCTCGCAATACAAATTGCAGAAGTGCAAGCAGCTATAATATGCACATTTTTTCCCTTCTTGCAGCAAAACCTTGATAACAATGACACTTGAAAATTAAACCAAGTAGAGTGTATAAAAGCATAACCTTGACAATCACCTTTCAATTTCTGAAATAATGGATTCATATGCTCTCAGTTTAATGCCAGCATTATTCAAGTAATCCCTAACTTCTGGTGTGATTTTAGAATCATCAACAAATAACTGTGCTCCATCAATCTCCACAATCAAGTATGCATATATGACAGGTGAATGTGGAACATCACTGCCCCTCTGTACAAATATCAATGACTTGAGAATGCCAGTCTTTTCCTCAGTGGCAATGAGCAATAAAAAACAATGAACATATCATTGGGAAAGACAAATCATGTAAAAAAAATCACCAATTCACGGATTCACCATTACTACTGATCGCAATGTTTATCTTCCAAACACCAAAAAAAATCAAAAATTAATTTACAGTAACAAAAAGGCTACCCATATGAACAATTTTAATAATTTTAATTTAAAAATACCAATAAAAGGCCCAACTATGTTGTTAAATGATCGCATGACGCATTAGAGCTTACCAAGTTCAATAGCCAGGCAATTTCATCTAGCATTGTAACAACAATTGCAGATGAACCAGCATTGATTAAGTCAGTCCTCAACGATAGTAGCTTTGACGAGACATCTACACCGGCATATCTTAAGTCGTGCATCCTAACTGGTTCTTTCGGAAGCTGCTGTCTTGATTCTTTCCAAATTTCATCAACAAGATTGAAGTTGGATATGCAGACCAATTCATGATTTCCTTTACTCATTTCCACTTTTAGTTCTTCTGCGGCATCGGATGAAAATAGAAACTGCTCCCTTCGGAAAAGCAAAAAATGGAAGCAACTTACCAGAAAAACGTAGTACTTGCTGAAAATAGCATGCTTAATGGAGGTAAGAAAATAGAAAGATGTCTAATGAGGAATATCAAAGTATTATTTGTTTCCAGAACAATTCATGTCTCTATTGGAAATGCAAATACACAGCTGAGTCATTGAAATGATGGCATTATAATGAAAACTCAATGGCTTCAGTAGCAAGCATCAAGAACCTATTTAAATCACGTGATGTATTCATTCAACCAGGTACTACTATAAATGTGACCATAACTGGTATCTCACTGATGTTTTACAGCGCCCTTAGAGTCTAGAATTCCAGGTAACATTGCCCATTTTCAACACAAAGTTCCCTAACCCCAGTTGCTAAAACTTATTCACAAATCTAAACTTGCAATATATTGGCTATTGGACTTAACATTCAACACTATCAACTTCAATCCCTACATTTTCTCCTACACACGATCCAATGGAGCACAACATTAGAGCTCATCAAGGGTATCAATTTTGTTGTTTACAGACTTATAATTGCTAAATAAATCTTTTGGTCTATTTTAATATGCGGGAGGAAGTAAAATGTTCAAACACGTCTACTTCAGCTTTGCAGGATAAGGTAGCATATATAGCATTTCTAGAATACACATAAAGTTTGACCAATACTCACGGGATCAATTCCAATCCTACAACCAGGTGAGAGAACACTAGTGAGCCACTCGCTGGGTGTGGGCACACCCCAATTACCTGCTCGCATGAGAATCCAGCTAGGGCTCAACTGTTTCTCAGCCTGTCAACATCAATGTGAAAATTGAAAATCTGTTACAAGCCCCGACCAACACACATGAATGCAATCATAGAACTAGCTGATCATGTTCAAACTTGACACCTGCAGAAAGTAGCGCCCATCTGTCCACAAGGCTGCTTTATCCTTAGTGACAACTGCTGTTCCTGCACTCCCAGTGAAACCAGACATATATGCTCTCCGCATATAACACCCAGCAATGAATTCACTCTAGAAGTTAAAAAAGAAACACATTTGCAATTGTTATTTTAATGATAATCGAGGTGAACATTACGTCACCTACACTTTTCTTTTCTCCAATCAAAAGTTTGTACAAGTATTTCCACATACTTGGAGCAAAGTAATAACCAATGATGTTTTTAATTGGACTGATTTCAGTCCCTGACCAGACCACATTAAAACAAACTAAACCACACTTAGACAAATAGACAATAATGAAGTAAACATGAACCAAACAACCATACTTAAACGGATCAAACCCGACTGGACTTAAATAGACCAGAACAGAAAAATTCAGTTCAATTTAAAACATTCCAAGTCTTTATTAACCATAAATGGCTAGCAGTTTTTCAAACTAAATTGCGTCACCATCAGAAGTCTATTTTAGAAAATCATTAAAAGGAAAAAAGAGGTATCTTTTCTTTATCCCTCCGGACAAACAAATACCCAATAAACATGACGCCAAATTTTTACTGTATTATAAGGCACTTAGGATCACTCTACACTGGATGACTATTGAGTATAAATACAGTGAGCCTCTAAAAGTAAACGCTGACAACAGCTACTAATTAACATCCATTTCATATGCAATGCCTAGAACTCGATTACCCGATATGATTCAAAACATTAAATGAGTATAAAAGACACGAATTTTGAATAATTAACGAAGCCTCGCCTGGTGGGCGTCCTGCGAAGGTATGATATAGGCGTCGATGTTAATTTCTGGCCTCGAAAATAGTTCGCGGATGGCGTGCAGCTTGTCTTCCTGACTAGGACCGCGGGACTTCGTCTGAAATTCCGATGAAGGCTTGGCAGTGATGTTGCTTGAGCTACGGACGACCAGAACGCGGCAATGTGGTGAATTTGAGGGAAATTTGAAGGGTGATTTGAGTTCGTGAAGAATCCTAATGGAGTGTATGGGGAGGCGGAACGGGCGAGTGCGGTGGGAGATGGTGGTGGAGCCGCGGATCACGGCGGTGGAGAGAGACATCCTGGAGGTAGTTGCTCCTGTGTTCATGAATTCACGGGAGAAATGGATAATATGATCTCGTTGGTCTTATTCCTTTTTCTTGTTTATTTATACTTTTTTTTGACAATTCTTTGTAAGCTATCACATACTAAAAGATCTCATGTAGAATCTAAGCATGTGCACCTTGCACATGTGACATTTCTCTCTCCTTTTTTCCACAGTTTTGTGTGTATTTTGTAAGTTTTTCTCAACAATGTCAAACACAGTATCTAGATGTCAATCACAATGTCTACATCTAGACATTGTGTTTGATATTGTAGAGAAAAACTTACAAAAACATATAAGACCGTTCAAATAAGGAGAGATATTCTATTCGTTATTTTTAATTGACTATCTTCCGTGCCACGTATGCATCATTCACATTTTTGCTCTAAGCTATCATTCTTTGTTCTATATATTAATGTCAGCATCCTTATTCGAACATGTGACCTCGTACTTAGCCACTCAGGCACTCATGTTCAAAGGTGTTTACATGAACACCCATTTTTTTGAAAAACATGTAGGTATATATGTGTGAATATGATATAATTATTTATTACTCTTTATATTTGTAATTGTAAAAAAGCATTGAACATCCAAAATCTAATTTTCAAATCTGCCACTGGAAGTGTCACGCTATCAGACCACAAGATACTTGACTTCTTGTTTATTTGTATAAATAAACTCCTCTGTTTTTCAAGTTCAAAATAATATCACCTAATCACAAGATACTAAACGATTTGCTCAATTATCAAAAACTAATCAAACAGTATTTTTAGATATGGGACTGGATATTTTTATTTGGACTATTTTCAGTCTCAAATCAAACTAGATCAGATCAGTTCAGACTAGACCAGACTATATTAGACCAGATCAGACTAGCAAATTTTAGTTTAAGTAAAAGCACGAGTTTTTTTCATATTAGTGTTAAGAAAATAAATTATTTACGAAATTAGAGTTTTTTCCATATTAATGCTAATTAATTAATTAATTAATTAATTACGAAAAATAATCTCGAGTTAAAAGTATTTATCGATCTACTGCTGGGTTTAACCATGGTCAGGGTGAGTCGCCAAAGGGTGTGGCGACTTATAAGTCGCCATCCGGTTTGGCAACTTATAAGTCGCCATAAGTCGCCAAACCGTTTGGCGACTTTCCCCTTCTTAAATAACCCAAACGTTCTGTTTCAGACCGGCGCCAGTCAAGGCCCAACCGGGGCCGGTAGGGGGCGCCCCGGTGGCGAAAAATTGTGTTTTTCATCCTAAATCGATCGTGATTATCGCAAAACACATACAAAACACAATTTGGTAAAAATGATACAAAGCGAGAAATACAATTTGGTAAAAATGATACAAAATGATAAAAAGTATTAGTAACACAATATTCATTAGTTTGGAGATGAAAATAAGTTAAAAAGTAAAGAGTTTCTACAAAAAGTGTGATGTTTGGCCTTCTCTCTATTCTTTTCAATCAAATATGTGTCCATCTGTCACTCTTCTTTTACTGCTTTCACGCCTATTAACAAAATAAGCATTAACGCGGTAAAAAGAAACCTGGACCAAAGCGGTGATGGGCAAATATTGGGCATTCTTCATCACGTTGTTGAAAACCTCAGCCAGATTAGAAGTGATGGTACCGTATCTGTAACCGCCATCGTGGTGTAATGACCACATTTACAAGGGAATGTTCCCTAGAAATTGTCGTGCCACCACCTCCATTTCCCTTATCTTCTTGAACTCACCATCAAACTTCTATTTTTAGTGTCTTTGAAATGAGTGTGCACATTTGATGCAAGATGGCGGGTATACCTGCACCCAAGTACTGTCCACCTCATTCATTGCCTTGACTATACCTGCACGTCGATCAGAAATGACACACAACTCCCTATCAGTGACAAACTCCCTAATGCATGCCATAAACCATGGCCAACTCTCCCCATTCTCAGATTCAACAACTGCAAAGGCCAAGAGAAATATTTGGTTGTTCGCATCACTACCCATAGCCACGAGCAATGTACCTGTGTACTTCTCATACACGTGTGTGTCATCAATAGTAAGTACGAGTCGACAATGCTTAAAACCATGTATTGAAGGCTTGAATGCCCAAAATACTCTCTGAAACTCCATATAACCTGTTGGAGTAACAAGGGGTGGATACCAGTGAACAACAGTTCCAGGATTGGAATGCTGGAGCGCTGTCATGAAATGGGGCAATTCAGAATATGACTTTCTCTCAACCGCCAAAAATGTCTGCCCATCCATGTTCTGCTGTATGATACCGTATACCCATACTTTTCCTTCAGCATCTCAATGATAGTATGCACTTTAAGGGAAGGATCAGTACGAAGAATGTCAATCACATCTTTAGCAATGAAATCAGAAGTCATCGCCACGTGATCAGTACTGTCAGTGTTGCCAACACAGGTAGCAGAATGAGGTCCAGGATAACACACAACTGTGAACCTGTCGAGGTTGCCTTTGTTCTTTGTGGCGCGTATTCTCCAGGGGCAATCACGCTCCTTCTTCCTCTTGCACTCTGCAACCCATTTATGTTTATCGGACTCCAGCACCCGATAAAATTGGTTCCGTTTAATAGAATACAAGGTCACAATATTGATGACTTGTTCTTTGTTGTCACTGTTGACCAACCTCAAATCACTTTCGGGTGTAAACCTTTTCATACCCGACCCACTCATCCACACATCGGTAAAGTCTTCAGGGAGATCATACATTCTAGTAAAGTGGCTAGACGGGGCAGTTGCCGTGACAGTATCACCATCATCTTTGTCAGATTCTGTCATGTCATCACCATTGATGTTCTCGTCAGCATCATCATCACTAGCCTGCCCATCCACAAATGAAGCACCATTGTGCAAATACATACTATCTTCCTCTATAACCATGTCTAGTACAACAGCATTTGAGGAGTTCCCTGCATTGACATCTGCATTCACACCATGCCTAGATACAACAACATTTGATGTTGACGGAGCTGTAGAAGAGTCACATATGGATTCCTCAATGTAAATCTCCAGCGAGGACATACTCTCCATCTGAATTAGCGACCACATATTTGTGACAGCTAGCTCATCAACAAGTGGCATAAGCATGAAATTTCCCCCGTTAAGGGGAAATTTCATTTTCAATCACAAAGAACGGCTCGGAGGAATCATCATAGCAACATGTATTTTTTGAAGCATCTCGAGCAAACATGCGCCACGTGAAACAATGACAAAGCTGCTTCTACCACCTTCATGGCGTATTTGGCCAGCATCCTCATAATAGTTCCCTCCCCAATGACACACGATTGGGAAATCGGAGAAATCCACATTCTAATAACAATACATGACGATAATGGATGAATACACATTAATATATGCACTTTACATGATTAAAATTCAACATTTCATACATATTCACATTTCACAACAAACCAATTCACAAATCAATTCCTACTTTACAAATTCAAAACTTATGAATTGAAACCCTAGGTTGAAAAATGAGATGAAATTGGGGATTTGATGTACCTAGAGGTTGAACAAGATGATTGGGGAGTGTATTTGATTGGTGGAGGCCTCCTAGTAGCTGTAGTCGTCGGAAACCGTTGCTTCAGTTGCTCTTCGCCGGACCAAATTTTCTTGCTGCTATCATTCTATCTGGTTTTGCAAGGTCGGGCCGCAGTTTATTAAAGAGGAAAGTCGTCAAACGGTTTGGCGACTTATAAGTCGCCATCCCGTTTGGTGACTTACCCCGACCATGATTAAACCCAGCAGTATATCAGTAAATACTTTTAACGCAACATTATTTTCGTAATTAATTAATTAATTAGCATTAATTGGGAAAAAACTCTGAAATTAGGGTAAACTTAAAAATATATACGAGTACCAAAATAGGGTTGGCCTAAACTATAGTAAGGCAAAACTGCCGGATGGAGTGGCGACTTTGCTCAAAAAATACGGCGTTCGTACCAAAAGAGCTTGGCACAATGAAATGGAAGATTAGTTGGTGGGGTCCATGCATAAAAAACTATTTTTTCTTAAAATTGTTGTAACTTTTATAATTTTTTTCTAGTCTTTACAAAAATACGGAGTATATATCTAACTTCATAATTTTTGTAATGTTTCGTATGATACCAATAATGCATATGTAAAGTTTAACTTTTTTAAGTCCGTAAGTGATGAAAGAGCAACTTGGCAACCCTACGAGCTAACACCGTCAATATATTCATGTAACATGATTTTTCTAATTAAAAACTTAAATTTTGTTACTCCCTCCGTCCCATTTAAAGGTTCTCGTTCACTATTCTCCGATTAATGTGCATTGTTCTTAATCTTTTACTTTATGTATATCCAACTTTTATCAAAATTAAATTTTATTGATCAGACTTTGTAGCAGTTTTAATGTAGTTTCTGAATACGTAAATTTTATTTACTAAAAACAATTATACTAGTGACAGGGATCACTTAACTTTATGGTCAGTCAAATGTCGTAAACCGCGTGAGAACGTTTAAATGGGACATAATGAGTATTATACATCTAAGTTTTTGCAAAAAAAAAATATAAAAATCTAAATATCCGATTGCTAGAACTTTTTTAAATCAAATTTTTCTTAAGCAAATTCGAGTGTTAGAATTAAGATATCATGATTATCTGATACAACAAAAAAATAAAACTCCAAATTTTTTAGTTTGATTTAAAAAGAAAAACATTTCATGCAAAGAATTTAAACTCCTCATTGAAAAAGTTAAACATTGCCCTGCAATTTTTTTGGAGTTTAATGTTTTGTTGCTTCAAGCCTTATTTTGAAAAAATAATCCAAAGATGTACTCGGTATAAAGTAATAAGGGGAAAACACACTTTTAATCCATGAAATAGTCAACATATTGAAATGTCAGACCCGTATTTCCGAGTTTGTAAATATCACCCACAGTTGCTCAAATTGTTGTAAATGTGGTCCTTTGAGAGGTGAAAGATACAATGTGAACGAGAAATAATAATGAGATCGTAATATTAACATTTGGATCTGCTTAACAAAAAAATGTGTTTAA